TGAATTCCAAAACATTCTGCTATGGTTTTATAAAACTCTCCAGACTGAGAGCACTTACAATACTTTTTTCTAATGTTCCTGTAGATTGTGGCATGTCATATTACACTAACCTGTATGGGTAATTTACTTGGTTTCCTTAATTTATATGGTAGAGAACCTCCCAGACTTTGTCCTGGTGATTGGCTCTTTGATTGGTTAACTTGGTAGCCAATTATTTTAGCAGCTGGTTATATGTAACTTGTTGACTGTGCTAATGAAACTTTTGGTGCATATACTTTTGCACTTTTGTACTTTTTTATTTACCTATTTCTTTTCCTATTCCATGCATCAGTTCCTCTAAACAATACATAGCATCTGCGAATATCAACTCTTCGTTTAGCAAAGTAAAGACTAGTTTTGATTAAACAAGGATTTCATAATAAAAATGGAACATTTAAAGAACTATGATAGGGATTCAGAAAATATATATTTTTTTCAATTCTAAATTTTAAAATAAAATTGTTCACCTCCCACAGTGTTCATGTATCACACTTGTCCTGCTCTGCTACGTTTTTCTATAAGACACCAGTTTTAGAGACTCTTACCCGGCTGAATTACAATGTAGAAGCTTGGAAAAAGGAAGGATTTTTTTTTGTTTTCTGAACACTAATTATGTTGTTGGAATTTCAAAGCAAAGGAAAACCAAGATAATAAAATGGTATACACCTGTCCTTCTCTACAGGACAAGTGTGTGACCTAGTTTTATCCTAGTACAGTATATATTACATAACTTGGTCATGGGTTATTGCAGTGATGTACGCTCACCTGTGTTTCCATTCCAGGAGGTAGTTCTCTGGAAAAGACCAATTGTTAATGTGATATTGATGTTCATTGTTTGAGCACCAAGCCTCTTAAAAGGTCACAGAAGGGGGGAAACTTTGGTGGAAGCAAGATAGTGTCAGTGTGAAAAAACATTCATAGTTGAAATAAGGGTTTCATTTTGTGGGGTTTTGAAGTGTAAGGACCATAAAAAACTAAACATCTGAATAATACAAGTAAAATATGACTCAAGCTGTATAAAATAAGGTCAAGCAGTTTGTGACTATCATGTACTGATTGTCATATGTGTTTCACATAAGCGTGTGTGGAATTTTCCAGCAAGGAATTTGAAACATTTGGAGCTACGAGCTGCATTGTAGGGTACTGTAATATATCTGTATTCCATATATTTGATGGAAAAGATGGTATATTATACACATTAATATACAGTACACTGTAGATGTTGTATACTTTTAAGCACAGCTTAATACTATCAGTATGCTACTGCAAATAATCATATTGTAGTGTTGTTCTCTTTTATGGCATTTTAAAAAAACTAAGAAGCTGAAAAAAGCAGAATTACACGCAGATATGAAATATGCTGAATATATTGCACTCTTTAGCTTCACTTTAAAATGAATGTGACCTAATTGCTAATACTGTTTTATTTTATAATAAGTGAGTGTCTCCCAGTGTTCATTTATGCTCATTGCACCTGTGCAAAAAATATACCTCAGTGTTTATCACTGAAATTTATTTGTAGACATTTGAACTATGAGTGTCCTGTTTCTAAGTCCTACAAATTTGATTTTGTTAAGAGGTTTGAAATTACGGGGTTACAAGTATTCTAACTGTTTCATTCATATGAATCGTAGTTCAAAAGTTTTATTGAAGTGGAAGTTTTAAATGATGTAAAGGCGGGCCCTGTATTGTACAAAGCGGTTACAATACGTATGTATGAATGGATATATTATTAAAATGCATTCTTGGAAAACGCTGATGACAAAACAAAACGTGATTTTTAAAAATATTTTGGAGTCTGAAGCAGACCTTCCTGTCTTGGATGTAAGGTGAGCTTGATTAGGGTTATATGGCCATAAATTAGATCATTTTCAAATATATAATATATGTAATAATATATTAAACCACTCTTTCCTACTCAATCAGGGGATATAGCTGTTGAACACAAATTCAAACAGAACTGAACAAAAAGAATTGCAACAGACTGAAATAATTTGTATTTCTCATTATGAGAATCTAGATATTTTCATCCTCACAATGATTTAAACATGTATCTTTTAGTATTTATCCCATTCTGTGTTGTTTAACTGTTGTTTGAAGCTGATACAAAATATGCAAGGATAAAGTTCCACAGAGGAGGACACAAAACATGATACCGGGAGTCACATGGCTAGGGTCACATATGAAGAAACTAATAAACAGAATTTAAGATAGTAGAGCTGAAACTGTACTTAAATCTTTGGCAACTGAAAGAGCTACATGAAGAAATAATACCCCGCTGAAAGTTCATAACCGATATTGCAACCGATATTGCAAGGCCTCTTGGAATCTCTGTAACTACATTAGAAATTCATATACCAAGAATAGTGGGGAATGTGTTGTGATCTGAGAAAGCTGTGAAGGCTACAGTACAGTATATACCCAACAGCAGGTTGGTAAATGAACTAATTATATTTAACAAGAAAATTATGTAAAGAACTTCATAAAAGCAATATCCAAAGCTTATAAACGTCTTGATGAAAACAAAGTTTAAAAAGATAGCATTCACTTAAAATCAGGCCGATTTAAGGGACACCTCTTCTGAAATTTACAGAGATTTTACGGGGCAGCTGTTTCTTCTTTTAATCCTTTTTTACACTTTGTTTCTTCACTTTGCGATTGCTTGGGTAATGCAAATGATGCCTTGTGATCTCGTAAGGAAGTCCCTGCAGGGTGTTTATCAGTAAGCTTTCTCTGGGATTTTGATTGTTCTGGGATTTCCTCTGGTGGTTCTTGACAAGTATGTCTCTTATCTCTCCAGTGCTGTGTTTTGGGTGTATCTCATCAACATCATCATCTGCAAACTTCAAAAATACTCTTTCATCAATTTAATAAATTTAGACCTGATAGATTAGAATGGCTTTCCACTAGCTGTTATAAGGAAATAAGACACTATTATAAGAATATCAGCCACATTTATCTCTAAAAGCTTATTTTCTCAATAAGTGTTATTCTGTGCCACCCTCCCTAATCTGAAGGGCATCACTAGGAGGCCATGAAAGCATTTAAAAGTGGTTTTCAGAGTTACCAGAAGCACAATACAGGTGCAGATTGCACATTGGTTCTGTTCTATGGAAAAACAACCTACTGTAAGAACACAAATAGGTACCGTAGTTTTACCTGACATAATGCAGTTCTGTGAAGAAAAAAAAATATTTCAAAGCTAAAACCAAGAAGATTTTAAGAGACAAACTTCCAAAGGTATCTCATTAAGTTCAATATCCTCAAATGATATTGCCATTTTTCTTGCTCTGAAAAAAAAAATATTTCTCATGAACAGGATCACAACCGGTCATGCACTTAGTGCGAGGTTTATTGAAAAAAAAGTATATAAAATCCACAGTTGGGAAAAAAGTTATTTTACACGTTACTAATAGTTTAAAAAATACATGTCATTTGTGATACAAATGAAGGCACAAATTACTAATCCCTTCAGAATTTTTATTACAGTATGGTCTAATCCAAACGTTGCTCACATATTTTACACACTCACCAATCTAAGCCTGACACCTTGTGGATTGTAGACAGACCATATTTTCGCATGGATACAAGTACATTTTCTTTACCCTGTTGATACTTCCTACAACAATTGTGACATCTAAAACAAAAGTCACAATGATCTGAATCATTGACCTTCAACACAAGGAATATGCCATGAATTAAAATGTAGGCACACTCTTTATAATGTCTTTCATCATTCATTAATCAGTGCTTAGATGTTATAAAGTTAGTACAAAAAAAATCACAGATTGTTATTATATATTCATTTCTGTATTTGAAACATAAAATATTGAAATTAAAACTATGATCCTTCTACTCCATGTTAGAAAACAAACTTAAAACTTTGTACTTCTTCCATTTCACTGAAATTTCAGTTTTACTGTAGGTATATGGGATGATATTTCAAATGATAAAATGTGTGGATGAATAAGCATTTAATTTGCACTGAAATTTCATTTCACTGTGAGCAAGTCATCTTATGTTATAAAATTCACAATGCCTTCTTGTTTACCATATAATTAAATAAGGATGAATTGTGAAGCAAAAATGAAACTAAAATTACACAATTTAAAATATGGCGTTTAGTATCTGTAAAATATAAAACAGCCTGTGTATGATTAGTGCTATCGTTGTGGCTCATTATATACTGTATCTATGTTTATGAATTTGACTTATGAAATACATATACAGTATACAGTATATATAGACCATTGGCTTTACAAACATTGAACCAAAGGCACATGAATAACTGCCACATGATTTTGTTAGTCACATTTGTAGGGAAACAGTGGACCTCTGTTGCTCTATATGCAAAATAAGTCAAATATTTGAACTAAAGGCATTATCGTCCACTTTCTTAATTAGCAGATCAATAATCTGTACAGTATGTATCCATGTAATATAGAAAAGCACAATTCTGTCCATAATAATGTAATAATATTTACAAAATTGTTACACAGGTTCAAAACAAATGTTCGATCACATTGTTCAAAGAAACCTGAAGTTCGATACAGGATTATATTAAACTGCAGAATCCCTTCTGAACTACCTTGCTACTGTAGAATATTATTCTGTACTGTAGCACACAATTTTATTGGCCCCTACATTGGTTAACTACTGTAGGCACTTCACGGAGGCAAGGTGAGTAATTGCAGACCTAAGGCTTTGGGAGTATCTGATTGAGACTAGTAATGGCACAGAGTAATTCAGGGTTTCCATAAGCAGGGAGGTGGCTCTGTAGCTGCACCAGTGGCTGGGAGGTTGCTGGTTCAAATCCCATGGCTGGCAGAGGAATCCTACTCTGTTGGGCCCCTGAGCAAGGCCCTTAACCCCAACTGCTCCAGGTGTGCTGTACAATGGATGACCCTGCCCTCTGACCCCAAGCTTCTCTCCCTGTCTGTGTGCCTGTGTGTCTCACGGAGATCAAGCTGGGGTATATAAAAAAGACAATTCCTAATGCAAGAAATTGTATATGCATTAGACAAATAAAGTAATCTTATAAATTTGCCTTGATGAAAGCATCCTCTTGCCCCAGATGTCATGCATTGTCCCTTATACTGTAACTTACCAGATTCTCAATGCGAGACTGTCATTTTTAGCAGCTGTTCATTCATTACTACCCCTGATAAGCTATTTTCTTGAGCCACCACCATTTATCAGCCTCCCTATTGAGGTGTAAGGCTGCCGTGAAAATGCATGATAGTTAATTTTATGCGTTAAAACATTTGTTTCTTATTAGCAAATTTTTCTCAGCCTTCAAAACAGGAAAGCAACAACAATGTGTTAAACTTTTGCGATAACAGCGCAGGAAATATGTTTCCTTTTAAACATATGTGCAGGAAGCAGATCTCAGATTTTTTGTTGTTTTTGATAAAGGTGGTGGGGGTGGAGAAGACTTGGAGCTTATATTTAAGCTCTGGATTCATATGAGCTCAACAGGAAAGCAACAAATAAGCTTCCACTAATTGTATCCATACTTTACAGGACTCATTATTCAAGCAGATCATACTACCGTTTAGATGAAAAATAATAAATTAAAATGATTTTGTCTTAAAACCTTCAAGAATGAGAGTTTAAATTAAAAAAATAGCGTAGAGGAGGTCTGATCAAGGAAAGCTTTAAGTGTGTAGGAAATACTGTATGTTCTGTTAAATGCTGGTATTAAAACAGGGGAAAAAATCAAGGTAGATGAGTTAATTAACAGTGTGTTTCTAACTCCAAAAATGCAAGATTAAAGGTTAAACTTATTCAGACAGAATTTTTGTTACATATGGGATTATACTCCTCATATGTGGCTTTTGAATATTTCCGGAGTTAATTGTATTACTTTTGTTATGACTACCCTTAGGGACAGTCACTTTGTCTTTCTACATTTTATGTGTCAAAGAAATCTGTCAAACAAAAGTGGGAATTGACTCAAAGTCTTTCAAACTTCTTCTGCCTATGTTTCCGGCAAAGATCCTTTGGTAATTGTGTATTTTTCCTGATTTTTTTGACTGTGCATAGCAGCTGCACTTAGTTTCAGACATTATGGCTATCCACAGCCATAACTAAATATAAACATATAAACAAGCCTCATGTACTACTTACTGTTTTCATAAAATAAAATGGAACATGTTATTTCTCTTTTCCCAATTCTTTTTACTATTATAAACGGTAGTTGGTAATTTGTATTATCCTGAAAAGAGAATGGCTTTATACTGTCTGTATGAGCCGAGATTGCCTACTTCGGAAAATTCGGAATAATTCAGAAAAGCTACTGATTTTGACCAGGAAAATTACAGAAATAAAAAAAAATATTATGGAATGTAACCAAAGTAGTGTAATATAATCATTCTCTAAATATTCTCAACCGAACCAATGATCAGCAAGGTACGCTCTTCAAAAGTTAACCTTAAGTTTCAAATCACTTTAAATCGCTTTTCACTTAAGTACAGTATTTTGTAAAAATAAGCTCCAAAGTATGTTCTAGAAAAATGAATCACAATAAAAGAGCAAGTCAAACCATGTTTTAAAAAAAACAAGCAAAAAGTATAATAAAAAGTTTTAAAAGGTCAACAAATCAATGAATGATTGTATAATTTGAATCTGAAAAAAGGAAAAAAAGCAAGACTTGGTATATGTCAGAAATGGCCCTTCTCAATAAACCTCATGATTACAGCTACTTTTTGAGGAAGTGGAAAGGTTTTGCCCTAAACTGAATACACTTAAAAAATTCCAGCATATTGGCATTAGATTTAACATTCAAAGTCATCTTCGGACCCATCTACTCCGTAGAGTTCAGCTAAGGTTTTGAAACGGGGACCCCAGTCGTTAAGGAAGTCATAATCCAGGTTGGAGTCTGAGGAAGAGGTTTCCAGAGAGCTGAGACTCCCTGCCAGTGACTCAGGACCCTCATAACCATATATATGAAGGGTATCATAGGGAATACCATCTTTGTCATGATCTGCTTCATCCTTCTTGACTTCAATCATGATAGCCATATCTGCCTTTCCAGTGGGTTTTTGTACTTTTGCGTACAAGGATGGCTCTGGCCTCACGTTGTTGTGACGGGCTGAATTCAAAACAGAAACATCATAGCCGTTGGTGTCCATTTCCCCACCCCCTTCTTCATCGTAGCTTACCAACTGCTCGTGAATTTCTCCACTGCCTTTGCTCAGGTTGACCAATGCGTCTTTTCTATACCTTTTTCTCAGTACAAACAATAACACAATGACTGAAAAGGAAAAAACAACAAACACAATAGTTACATACAGTTTAAAGAAAATATATAATCTGAAGTATCATTACTAGTTTGTGAGAGACACTGCAGGTGAAGCATTCATGTGCAGGATGGTAAGAAATAGTACATTTTCTATTCCAGAATCTCAGTTTAGCAGACACATGTGTGTCATGTGTGAAACAACTGAATTTTAGAGTGCTATGTTACATTTTTCATTACTGCAATGTTTTATGCATATTTTTTCATTCAATGCATCAAATATACTGCATTCTAAGTTTAAAAGTACAGTAGCTGTAAGAGTTCATGTAGAATTAAAATATATTTATATAATCATTTTATATTAAGAGATTAATATAATCTCTTAATATATCTAATGTTATATTATATTATATAATCAATATAATAAAACTTAGAAGAATGATATTTTGCTCATATTGTTTCAATAAAATACCTTCACTTTTACTTAGTTGAGTGCTAATTATGCAATTAGACCAAGTGTGTCTCCCTTTATCAAATGGCTGTTTCAAAATAACAATGGGTACAAATGTGTCTTAACCCATTACTGTGCTGCTGTACCGGAGCCCATTTAGCATCACAAAAAATATTACAGTATTTGAATATCATTTACTAATACTTTTGAATTGCAGTTCTTTCAGATTCCGGACATGTTTAAAATGAAAGAGACATTATGGATTTAGTTTTGGGCAACTCACCTATGATAGTAATAATGCAGAGGAGAATAACAATAATGGCGGGGACACTGACTCCCGCCCCTTTGTAATGACTCCTGCAGTGATGATTTTCTCTGTTGACATCACACTTGCAGACTGTGATTGTCAGGGTGGTCGTGCTGCTTTGTGGAGGGATGCCATTATCTCTGACCACAACAGACAGGACATACTTTTCAGTTTCTTTATCTGTAAAGCCGCCCTGCTTTACAGTAATATTGGCTGTGCCATCTGGTTGAAGAAAACAAAACCATATGAAATCTGAAAAATTACATTTATTAACACTAAATAATGATTCTAGAAACGGTAATGATAACAAAACAATTAATCCCTCTGTGAGTTTGTAATCGCAGCTTTCCAATTTAAAACCTTTTAGAGTTTTTACAATTTTTGTGATTTGTTCCCCCTTATCTCTAGATGTCTCTAGTCATAATTTAGGATATGTGCATTTTTAAAACTTTAATGTTCAAAATTCAGAATTTAAAAATGCATATACTGTAGGACCTATATGCTTCATGAACAGATGTAGGGCTGGAAAGGATTTGTTATTGTTTTTTCAAATAAAAATGTGTTCTTTGAAAGCATAGTATGGATTTTTAAATCTTGTAGCAATAGTAGGTGATCAAGTTATGACTGTTTCCTAGGGCAGATACAAGTACATTATTGTCATATTTACGGCTTTCTGGTTACATACATTTAATTTTAATAATCCCCTGATTTAAGGTTGACATGAGCTTACCTCAATAATTCCACAATACTTTAAGTATTGGTGTTTCTAATATATGTTGCTTTAAGGTCTCATGTGGTAGCATTCATCCCTGGTAGCATTATGACATTTTTGAACACTTTAAAATTTAATCACTGTCACCTCTGAACATGGATTTTAGAAAGATGTACAAGTAAGTGGGATGAGTGTGTGAACAGTGCTAGAAAAGCTCTAAACAAACAGGAAAAAAACTGTAAGAGGCAGCTTTAGTTTGCCTTGGATATATGTAGACAACTACAAAGTGTAATTAGGGGATGAGGGTCTGTTTGTTATGTCTTATTTGTAGCCTGCTGATTAATACTGTAACGACTGCGGGTTTTGGTACGGAATGGAGCAGGCATGGGACTCAGGGGTTGAACAACACATTTATTAACTCGAACCAGGGAAAAGTACACACACAGGGACAGGCGTTACAGCGCTGCACCTACACTAACACACACACAAGACGGGAAGGCTGTCTTCCAACCTCCGTCCAACTCTATACATTCCCGTAGCCTGGCCCCCAGGCGCTGTTCTCAGCCCGCCTTGCTTGCACATGGCTAAAGCACCCTGCATGGTGCTACAATACACAGAAAGTGTTAATATTTTTATGTGAAAAATAATTACAGAGGCAAGATATTCAGAATAAAAAGTGCTTTCCAGTCTTGGTCCCAGGGCATCCCTGTCTCTGTTTGACTAGTGGAGTTTTAAATTGTAAGCTAATTAATTTTCAGCTTTCTATTGAGGCATATTATTAAATTTGTTTGCAGCTCTTAACATGGGATTTGTAAGGGCTATCATCCCCGCACCAATTTCTAAACTTCAAAACGTCCCTCAGATGTAGCTGCTGAAAGATAACCATCTGCAGAAGGAAAACAACACTCATTGTGGAAATGTAATGTTTCTTACAATGTCATTCCCAAATGTGTCAGTTGAGACCTGAAGTAGAAATAAGGAATCCAACTCTTAAGAAGCGGAGGAGGGACTACGTAACTTTCTGTATGCTGACGTTGTTACAGTACATTCAATGTTTTTGAAGTGGGTTATTTGGTTATTGTGTTACTGTATGACACCAAGAACTGAGTGCAGAATCAATAAGCCTGAACAAGCAAGAAGATCAATTATCATTTGGCACCAGCTGTAATGAAATCCTCAAGAACCACTGGCATAGACAAGACCACATGGTATGACTGATTACTGTATTATTGAGCATAACTTTCACCTACATAATGCATCTTAAATTCTAATTGCTTTAAAAGGTGTGTGCACATTCACTGTTTTGGATTTTTTCTTCTTCAGCCTGTAGGTTTTTTTTCCACCTTTTTGTGGACTTTCCAGGAATGGTAAGAGCAGGGGCACCCCCACCACTGGTCCTCAAGGGCTGTGATAGAGCTGTTTTTATAGGTGTCTTAACATATTCGGCTTCTTAAGACCAAGGACAGGCTTTAGCTTGTTCAATTAAACAAATAATGAGCTAGTTAAGGACTCAGCTTGCCTCATAGAGGTCGCTATAGATGTACCAGTATATACAGTATTAAGCAGTATCTTCTGCTGCAGGTGAAATGCATGTGGAATTAATGAAATGATTGCAGCTAATTTGGCATCATTAGCTTTCACGCACATTCTCTTCTTTACCCCATTATATTAATTCTAAATGGAAGTGCAAATATTGAACCATAATACTAAAGTATAATACTAAGATACTGTTTATGGCATGTTTAAGGCTAGAGGATTCTGTTACTATATGAAAACAGGAATGGTAAGGAATGAGTAAGTTAGTGTTCTGTTTTGATTTTTAGTTATATTTTAAAAAATACTTCTAAATGAATTTAACTTACCATGATTGTCAGTGAGTGAAAAGTTTGCACTTGGCTCCGCCAAAGAAAAACTGATTTTTGCATCGGGTGTCTGTTCATCTTTGTCCGTTGCTCTGATTCTCTGTATTAGCTTCAATAGGGATGAATAAATTGTTAAATTTGCAAGTGAATACATCAATCTAAGTAACTGCATACAATATTTTGTGTCGCGTTAACAAATCTTTTTTCTTTCAAAATGACAAATTAAAGAAATAGTGTCTAACGCTTTGTTTCTGTGTTTTTTTCACATTCTTAAAAAGTAAAACAGCCCATGATGAAACAAATTATAATTTCAGTAGGTCATTACAATTATATCTTTTTAAATTCTGAATTGCTAAAGAAAGAGGTATAAAAGGAAAATAGAAATTAAAACAAATAAAGTACCATGCCAGGTCCATCATTTTCACACACAATGGGATTATGAGGCATATCCAATTCTGGAGGATTGTCATTAACATCAAGAACATTCAATGTCACAGTAACATGGGATTTTAGACCTAGAAAAAAATCAATTATTATTATTTGTAGTAATAGCACAGTATAATCACAGAATGAAAATAAATTTCACATCAATGTCATATAATATTGGTATGCTCTTCAGTTAGATCATTCTTACAGTTAATTTAACAAGCAGCCCTTTCTTCTTGGTTTTGCAAAGTTATACAGTATTTTAAGCCTGCCAATATGTGTATGATAGATCATCCTCAGAGAGGAGCATGATCCTTGCTAGCTCTAAAGATACACTGTACCTCTTTCACAAATCCATCTTTTAATCAAGCTGCTGAGCTTAAACCTCACAGGCAAATCTCCCAGAGACATATGCTTTCTATCACATCAGTCAGTAAAGGGGAATAGCTGAATGAAAACATTTCTTCTGCAAGTGCAAAGATAACACTCATTTATTTTTGCATTTGACTTTTTAACAATGCCCTAAAAATAGCAGGTTTGTTTCTTTTGTTTATAGAAGGAAAGACAGAGAATTATGTTTTTCAGGATTTTCAGCCTTCTCATATACTTTTTGACATATATTTATCATGGCAATAGTTCTTAAAATACAAACAATGGACATCCAGGTTTGATGAATTAGGAATTTTTGGTATTGTGCACAAATATGTAAAGCCTGTGAATGAAGAAAATATTAGAGTTCTTGTGAGAAAAATGATCAGCCTGTATGCTGCAAATAATATAAGGACAGGCATTTGTAAAGATGTTTACAAAACTAAAATGTAGTTAGGTGAAACATTCCATGAATCCACAGATAATTGTTTCTTTGTGCAAAATCACAATTTCAGATTAGTCTCCTAAAAAAATAAATTTTCAGAAAAGTTTCTTAAAGTTTCCTAAATATATCTTCTAAATTTCATTAGCTGAAAATTAAGATGGACTTATGCACTATCATAAATTATGCACTATAATAAAAGATTGGAGTTATATACGCTATAATCAGGGACCTAAAGTCTTACAACACAGATCAATGCTATGATGAAACCAAGTCTTACAAGTATTTCATGTTGAATTATATTATTACCTTCAGGATAATATTCAACTGCTGTTACAATAAGCTGATGTAAAGCGTTAAGTTCTCGGTCCAATTCTTTAGCTGTCAACAACTCTCCAGTCTCTTCGTTAATTCTTACTGGGAATCCTTTATTTATCTCATACCTGTATAAGAAATAGTGTTATTGAATAATTAAAATTTATGTTAAAACCCACAGGATATCATTAAAATTGATTGTTTAATTCTACAGAAAAGTATTAAAAAGATTAGAAATCAGAGACTTCCACCTATTAAACAAGGAAATACTAAAAGCTCCCACTGAGCAACTCTCCAAATTTTGTCTTCAGTGTTTACAACCCACAACAATAGCACAATGGATAAATAGATTTCAAAGAAATAAGGAAGAATAGTAAAAATAAGGAGTGACAACTATACCTAATAGTTTTATTCGCTTTATCAGGATCCCATGCTGAGACTCTTCCAATTATAGTGTTAACTGGGACATTTTCTTTGACATGGAATCTGTAGGTTTCATTTGTAAAAACTGGAGGTTCATCAACATCCAATACATTGACTGTGACTCGTGCTTTGTCATTCTTGTGTGACCTGACTTGAGCAGAAGGAACTGTTTCTTCACTCACCGCAACCTCAAAAGTATAACGCTGTTTATTTTCATAATCCAGAGGCTGAAACAGTAAATGCATGCATTAGATGACCTTAAGACAAAATATGAAATCTACACACATACAGTATGGTTTCTAGTGGAAAATTTTCCCAGTTGCATCGTTTTTAATAGTACATGTACATTAAGGAAGAACAATGACACCCAAGATGCAGTTGAGGATGTTTATTGAGTATTTAGGTGTTGTGATAACTGTCTTAACCTGCTTGGCTGAGGGCCAGCCTCTTGGCCTTAGGATAAAGAGGATACAACCCCCTTGCAGAGTGAGGAGTTAAAGAGGGGCAGCGGGAGAGGAGATGGATTTGGAAGGAAGTGTGAAGTGAGGGATTTGCAGATTATATATCTGGTACAGTGTATTTAGCTTTGAGAAAAGAGATTGAGAAAAATTATGGTTAACAGCAGATGGGGCAAAAGACTTGGTTGTCATTAGCCCCCCTGAACATCAGTTAAAAACTTCCCCATAATTGTATGCCCTTGTACTACACATTTTCATTTATGCTTCATTATGTCTGATTTTGTTAAACTCATGGACCTGTATGTGCACTTGTATTTGCTGAATAGGCTGTCTATGACATTAGTTTAGCTTAATATTTATACAGTATATCACAAACTTATCTTAATGTTATTCACTACTGCATACGGTATTGATTGCTGTTGATAATACAGTACCACATCAGACAGCAGTCAAAAGTCAAGGATTGTGTTACATTGTTTGTTACATTATATGCTGGTCAAATGTATTTGACAGTATAAAGCAATACATTGGAAATGTATGAAACAAAAACAATCATAAAAATAAAACATTAGAGGCACTTTATTGTTTCTTATCTGCAACATTCTACATTACCTTGTCTATTCTAAAATTCCTGATGCAATTCATTTTAAAGTATGCTCTTTTGTGCTGTATGTCTATCTATGATCAGAAAGAACAAGGATACCTGCAGGAGAAAGATGGCTCCATCTTTCTGGAGATCTGTCTTAATATCAAATATTTTTCTGCATTCAGAATCTTCAATATTAAAAACTGGATTTTTGTTCTGTGGTTCATCTTTGTCTTCAATTTGCATTTTCCCAACAGTAAACCTAGCGGGTTCATTTTCTTTTATTTCAAACTCATATTGTGCTGTGAAGAAATGTTATAACAGAGTAAAGACACAACTTAGTTTCAGAGGTCCTATGTTGAATACTACAAAATCAAATTGCTTTGGAAGTAACATTAGACATAGCCTATTTCATTGGAATTTATTTTTTTCTTGAACTGCAGAATTTATGATCATACATCTTTTAACATGTATTGTACAGAATTTAAATTATGATCCCCTATATTTAAGCATTCATAGTCATAATGTCATAGTCATAATGTTACTCTGCATTTTTTCAGAGTAATGCTTTCAGTTAGAATAGTTAATATTGTTTGAATTACAGGAGACCATAATCAACAGTTGCATATTATATAGTTCTAAAACAGATAAGTCTACCATTTTACACCTCAGATGTTACTTTTTTAATGCTTACGGTATTTGAATGTTGCCTTGTTGTCATTTTCATCTTCCAGTGTGATTGCCACAGTGGTGGTGGTGCTTCCTCCAGTGCTGAAGTTTGGCATATCCTTTGCTCGCACGGTCAGCTTATAGCTGCTCTTTTTCTCGCGGTCCAAGGAGCTAACTTTCGTTTTAATGGTTCCTGAAAGGAATTTCCAAAACAAATATAAAAATCATTCACTGATACTTTCAGAGAGACACACTTTGTCCTGTCGTCATTCCCTTCCATTGTGGTTTTTTCTCCTTCATTTACTTTGTGCACCTGGAATACGTACAGTATAGGCCACAAAACAAAAGTATAATCCTTTTTGTTACCTAACTATAATAGGTGTTTTGGTGGAAAAAAACAAGATGTAAACTGCTGATCTCAAATGAAGCAACTCCAAACTGCAAAGACAATAAAATACCATGTGGTTTTAAGATGACTCTTGTGAAACAGTGGCAGACAAGTGGGCATGAGCAGTGAAAGCTCCGGATATTAGCATGATCAGTGCTCAAAAGATACCAAGAAGAGATTCAGCACTGGAGCATAAGCACCCTTTGCTCTTACTGTCAAGTTTTCAGTAAGCATCCAAAGTAAAATACTCTTAAATCATGTGATTTAATGATTTAGTCAGTGTGCCTGTGAGAGAAAATTGCATTTTGTTCAACAATAATCAAGTAGATAATAGCTGACTGTGATTGGGATTCGCTAAAGCGTTGATGCTCACTTTTCGGAGCTCTGTCAGGGGTGCAGTGAGATTAGTTAGCCAGGGCTCTCTTAATTTCATATACTGTACCCCTGCAGCCTCCCTAGGATTCATTCTCAAGATTATTTTTTTTTATTTTGGCAATATACTGTGACAATATCCTAACTTTCAAAAGCCATTTTGTCAAAAGTAATAACGGATATTAAAATGTTGAAACCTTTAAAAGTTATTACGAGTATGGCAGAGGGATAAATAGACTCTTGAGAGCAAATCCCAAAGAGCTTGCAATAGGAAGATCAGATTACATTCATCGTGTTTTGTAGTTATTCTTTTCACAGCTGTATACTCCACTAGCGCATTGCTAAATCTATCTTTTATATATTTCATTACTTTTAAATCTTTGCTGAAGTCTTTCATCACCCCTGTATCTATAATCCTCAACAACAAACCATTTACTACAGTAACTTCATTTAAATATCTTTTTCTCAGTATCAATCCTCATCTCACCTACAAAAAACATATCAACAGACTTGTCAACAAACTAAAAATTTTATGTTTACTGTAAAAAGCCATGATGGTAAAACTAATATACATTTAAGATAATGTATTATAATGAATAGGACTGGCATTGATTAAGATTGATTTTCTTGACTAACTACTGAAGAAAGACTAACAACAGTCATTAAATTATACAATCTTAACAGAAATCATCTATAAGCATTTTCTCAAATTCAGCATTTTCAAGACCTTCCCAGTTCTTTATTTTGACAGTCTGAGAACACAAAAATAATATGCAACATGACCTTCTCTCTTTTCACTTATTTATAACCAGTTACTCATACAGTATATAAAGTTGACCTTCCTACACAACCAGATCCATCTCACTAGACCAGAACATTGTTTGTAGACAAAGATTCATATAGCCAAAGACTCACTATACACCCAATACACTTACTGCTCAATACACACATTTTAAAGGGCTTATAAGAAATACATTTTCTCAAAAACTCATTTATATAGTGACAGACGATAATGTGGACCTCCTTTTTGTCTCTAGTGTCGGTTCATATTTTCTTTTTTCCTTTTGAATTTGAATTATTTATTGGACAGATCCGTGTTGTAAATCTTTCATTTTGTGACAGGCTAGAGGATATTTGTTAAATATGAACATGTATCCCATTTCTCTGTGTAAAGGAATGTGTAAATACCTGTGGTTCTATCAATATAGAATGCATCTGTTCCTTCTATGAGCTCATAAACAACTTTGCCATTTTCAGTTGTTGCATCATCTGGATCCAGGGCTTTTACTGTTAACACACTAGTTCCTGCAAAAAAGAAATGGTGAGCAAATGTTTCATTGAGTCTTTCCTGAATTGTGTAATATTTTATCTTAGAATGGGGTTTCATTTCTCTATTGCTTCCTAATGTCATGTATGTATATTTTTGAAATATTTTGGACATATTTGGAAATTTCAATATGCTGAACATTATAAAGAACATTTTTCATGCTGCATTAATACTGAGCCAAATTGGAACATCACTCTTTTGAAGGTCATTCGAGATAGTACTAAAGATGAAAATGTGCCCCATAAAATAAATATTGACTAAATACAAACCATGATTGCACTTTTAAACAGTGAACCATCTCTTAAGCTGCCTAATTAAAACCTTTGGTTGGTGCTGAAATGTGTGACATGAATTCTAAGGCAGAACATTATTTGACAATTTGAGACGTGGACTTCTAGAACACTGAAAGGAGTTTGTGATTGATGTGGACAATAAAAGTCAGAAAATAAGAAAATGTATGTTTGCGTTAGTGAAAGCTACTGCAAGAGACTTATTTTTAATTTGTTGTTTTTATTGAATGAAATATTTATATATATTTATAGATAAATAAATATCAATAGCAGGGGAGAAAGGGTGTACTGTAGGTAGAATCTATTGAGTGAAGATTCATTCTACTGTTTGTTAAAAATTAGTACCATTTTTTTGTCTCCTTAAAGAATATCATGTGCCACCATTGTACTTTCAGGAAAATTGCCTTAATCTCTAAAACTCCTGTTCAAAACTATTTAGTGTAAATATTTTAAAATAATATGTAGACATTTAGGGGTATTAACTTAAAAAAAACACTTTTCATAACACCAAATCAACTATTACCAGTTCCTCAAAACATCTTTTCCACACCTACATTGAGCTTTACTAGTTTTTCACTATTAATCTTTTACTGATACTTTAATCTTTGAACATCATCCTGCCTATTGTCAATGTTTCCTCAGAGCCATTGATAGAAACCTTTGGCAAACCCATCTGATTTTAAAGAATAGACTAATCACATTCTGAATAACGTTCTAAGTGGCAGGTTTGATCTAAAGATTTCTTTTGTAAGAGTGTTATTGTACTGTACATGCTTCGCTCACTTTGCTTTTTCAAGAAATGTGTGAAGTACCTACCTTCTGGAGACCCCTCTTTAACAGAGCCTTTGTACTGACTTTGCTCAAACTTTGGAGCATTGTCATTTATGTCAAGGACTTTTATATAAAAATGGTCTGCTTCTTCCAGCACAACCCCAGTTAAATTTTCACGGATTTCAGCTTGCAGCTTATATATTTCTTTTTCTTCACGATCCAAAGGCTGGTTGACAAAAAGATCACCTTGAGCATCAACTTTAAAAATGGTGTTTGCCCCCTCTCCTTGGATGATAAACATTGCGTTTTTGTTGAACCTGGTACTTTTCAGCTGAAAATAAACAGATACAACAGGTTACCTACTTCATTCTACTTTCTTATTGAAGAATAAGATAAAGTCTATAGATTAAAAAAAAAACGTAGGTTCTTACATTTCAGATTGTTTTCAAGGGACATACAGTGTAACTGTTATAAATATGTTATAAATATAGGACCCAAGTAATATAACAGCAATTATACTTATGATTATTTGAATTTAGTTTAAATGCTTGATGAAAATAGATGGATAGATAGAGTTTGATTTATTTTTCAAAAGCTATATAATAGTCATACTATTAATTAAAAATTCTTATGCAGTGTGATATACTGTATGAAGTGTCATTTTGTTACTGAGGTAAACTAGAATCTTGAAGGATTTTCAGGTTGTCAGCATTATTTTCTTATATTATTAAAAGATTATTCTTGTTTTGTGATGTTAAATACAAATAAATGCTAATTTTAAATTGCATTGGTATGATACACAGTACATTATATACATGTATACAGTATATAAAAACAACATTGTATCAAAATGGCAGAATCCCACTTCTCACTTTTAACTTTCTTCATCAAATGTATTAAAATGGTGTATAATATACGATAATCTTCAGAATGTTGATTTTTTCCAGATTTGTTGCCATTGCTAGCACAAAGTAGCTTGGGATGTGCTGTGCATACTTGTATGTACTGTATGTAGTGTAAAATTATCCATGCATAGTTGTGATAGTGTTTCATTTTGTTGGACTTTTTTTTTCTAAATTTGAATTTCATCAGGGAAATCTGATATCATTTCTTTAAGACTGAAATTAGAAATTTTATTTCTCAACAATATGACATAAACACAAGAAAATCATTTTGTATAATCTGCTCCCCATCAGGCTGTAGTAACATTATTATGGGATACTAAATAGAATAAACTATAACTACTGTACATTACCTTTCCAATTTTATGCGGGAATGGTGGAGTTTGTTCTTCTTGAACAAATATTGAATTCCACTGCCATTCTCGTTTATGTCTGTGATGAGCAAAACTGTTCTCAAGTGAAGTGTCCATCCACAGCTGTTCAGGGCTGGATGAGGCAAGGATTAGGAAAAAGGAAGACACCGCCACCCATTGTAAAAAATCCATTGCCGGCTTCACCGATGAGCGGCCTGAAATAAAACTCCAATGAATATCCTAGGATCGCTGTTTATCCATTCTTTATCCCCTTCATCCTATGGAGTCTCTAGGAACACCATGGCCTTGCACAGCAGACACAAGTCTTAAGACCCTCTCTGGGATTCTGGTCCAAACCAGGCAACACAAAAGTACTGTACACATAGTGAGACAAATTCAGATACAAGGATTTACCTAGTAAACGTGTGTTTGGAAGGTTAGAGGAAACAGGAGCTTGTAAAGAACACCTACATAGACATACTGTAAGAGAACTTAGGAAGCTTTTCTCAACTTTACTTTTCTCAGAGTACATTGTGGACTGATCTCAGTTTAATTGGACTATTCTAATTGTCTCTACAAAAAAGAACTGTGATTCATGTCTATATCAAGCCGTGCTCCTAAAATGTGAGCCAAAGCATAATGGGTGACTGATTAATCTGCGAAACAGGATATGTAAATATAAACCTTGAGGAAATAACATGCATGTTTCTAATGTGTGTGCTTAAAAGTCATCATTAGCGTAATTTTGTTGTTTTTCACTCCCTTCCTGCGATTCAAATTCCAGCTTTTTTCTCAAAGCCTCCAAGTATATTGTAAGTCAGTGAGACTAGTTGCTGTAAAAATGTTTAACACAATGACCCCAGATCTGGAATATCCATTTTTATCTGCTTTTGTTCTTAATCAGTCAGTTTTACAAAAATACAGATTTCACAGGCAATTATCTCTAGTTTTTACTTACATAAAAAAAGAAAAATAATACTGTAATAAAAAGGGTTACAGTGGACCATATTTTTACAATGAATAGTATGATCTTAATTGTAGCATATAGCAATATGCATGACAGTATAATTGATACATTGGTTTTAATTCATATAAGATATTTATTTTAATAATGATTATCCAGAAATCAAATACGTGCCAGAGTCTCAATCCATCACTTTTAAAATTAGTTCATATTCGTCATTCAATAGGTCTCATTGCAGGAGTGTACAGTACATATACCAGTCTTCCGAATATTAAGAATGAATTATAGAATTCCCTCTTTCCTCATGTTATTTCAAGAATCTCATTTCCAATTAATATGAAACATTAAAAAGCAGACGCTGTATTAAAAAGAACAGAACACATTCTGTTTTCAGAACAGAATAAAAATAATACCAAAAAATAAAAACAAATGCTGTACCTTAACACATACACACCCATTTAGCTTTGGAACAAAATGGGATTTAATTACCATATATGGTCTGACAAAAAATATTTCTAAATGGGTGGTCATTTCTATCACTAACACAGTGACCTATTTGATCAGAGCCCTCTGGCCACTGGAATTTTATTTTCTAGTCCCCCAAGCAACCCATTACAACATGTTTTAGCCAAGAATAATACTCAGAAATTGTTGAAAACAATAGAGTATTTTATTACTGCTAAGCTTGTACAACAGATGTTATTTAAACATTTTGGGCTAGCCACAGAGGATCAGTCCATTGTTGTTTTGAAAGCTTACTAGGTGGTTGGAATTTTATGATTAATATATTTTTTAGCAAGGCTAAAAAGATTTGAAAAGACAAATGAGAACATTTTATTCCTGGCCTAAATAAAGTGATGTCCAGCTCTTGACTGGCTTTGGATATGCTGAACAAAATGCACTTATAATACACAAACTCTCATTTCAAAAATCTTATTCAGCCTAAGAAGTTACAAGCTATTGATGAGTCTAGAGCTGCCAGACAAGTCATTCTTAAAATGTAAATAACGTGTAATGTCCGCTGTACTGTATATTATTGACCTACTGAACCATATACACACTGAATGGTATAAAGTGGTTTGGTAAATGACATGACATGAACCATATACATTGAAATCAAGCCACCCAAATGGTATATTTTAAACTAATCTTCACGCTAAGGTCTTTGTTACTAACAAAACAAATCAGTTTCATTTGGTCTATGTTTACCAGGGTTTTTCACGCAGAAAACAGTGTGCAGTCACATAATGACTAAAATGTCCTTAGAGTAAAGTAATCAGGTGACTGATTCATGATATACAGGTAGCTAAAAATGAGCTAAAAATGAGATTAATGAGATAAAATGAGATTGTTAATTTAGCCTAATTTTGCTGTGTTATTTCCAGCTTTAACTTATTTTAAAAGTCTAATTTTACATTACTGGATACAACTGTAAATATCAGGGGAAAAGCGAGTCCCAGCTGGTAAATCACTCGACATTTAACTCCACGGAGTGGAGTTCTTTGAGTTTGTTTCAGACCAAACTAAACCACCTGCCACAACTGCATAAGAAATGCCGAGTTATTAACACCTGCCTATTAACAACCTTTTCATTTCTTCCTTTTTTTATTTTCTTCACATAATTAAAAATTAAACAATCAGAACAGGAAAAAACAAATGGTAACATTGTAACACTTGTTTCAGCTTTACATATTGTTCAGGATCAGGGTAGTGTTATGACCACCTCTGACTGTTAAGAGTCTCCTCATATGTCAATTATAGCACTTAATCCAAATTCTAGTAACAAAAAACTTTTTTTTATGAAAACAATTTTTAAAATAATGCCTTAATACTCAAGCACCTGCAACTTGATGTCCATACTTACAGAATTACATTGTTCTCAGAGCGCTATTTCAGTATTCATTTATTAAAGACAGTACTAAAAAAAGCACTTTCAATCAGAAATAAATGACTAATGTAAAGTTTGTCGTTTTCTTACCTGATGTTGATTTCTCCTTTTTGCTTTATTACTTATTATTCCTCAGAAAACTGTATTCCTTAAAAACAAATTAATAAAAGGAAATAGTTATATATCCTTTGATTATGTCTTTCATAAACAGGGGTAAAAATGTACGGTAGTCACACTTAGCAGATATAAACCTGTCTGAGCTGTAACACTTGGGTTCAGCATTCCCAGCTGACCATGTTTCCCCAAACTAGTGACCTGCCTATTTCCTTTTGGCAGGCTTCCTGTAATTGTCCTTCTCTTCTGTAGGATCCAAAAGTTACTAATAGTGGAAACCAGATAAATTCAGCCTAATTACCAGTAGATCAGCATGTCCATCAGGGAACAGTTGAAAGAGGCTGGAAAAAAACCCCTGTCTATTGTATCCAAAGAAGCTAGAAAATCATGTTGGAGCAGCTGAAGCATGTTAAGCATTTGCGTTGTAGCAGAAAACTGAGAGTGTGGCAGACATCATCACATTTCTGTGCTGAGTTCCATGATGAAAACAAAGAGAAGGAAAGTAAAGCAGAGATTCATTATTCATACCTAAGAGATAAAGATTATGATAAATAGGTTATCGAAGTTAATCCCATGAGATTCCCACATAGTGGTATTACATTTTTCAGGAAACTGGAGTATTTGATAAAGAAATCTTGTATAAGCTGGTAAGTGAGATGAATGCGTTTTCCCGGCTACTGAGTGTTTCCCTTGAGTACCATCAGTAATTTAGGGAATTGGTTTTCCAGCTTGATGTGTGTACTATCAAAGCCCTTCTCCATCTCAATGCATTTACCTACTCCAGTTAGTCAGATCAGTCCTGTGAGCACTACAAGTTTATTTAACTGGGATCTCTGCGAAATATACCATGGCTGATAGAGACAGTGTAGTTAGTGTGTATGTAAGAGTGGGAAAAAAAAATCTTTATCAAACACTTGAAAGACTAGATGTTGAGAATGTACAGTTATTTTGTGATTTTTTTCCCTTGTAATACTGACATGCACTATTGCATTGTGCCAAAATATAATAATTTGTACTCATGTCTGCAAGATATAACGACTTTATTCCAGATTTTTTTGGTATCTGTACATTTTCTGTTCCAGAGCAACACTTAAGATTTTAAAGCATTAAGGTAATAGTTTGATTTTCAATCTTGAAATATGAGGTTATGTCTAAAACTAAAACTGTATACTATACTGTATACTAAAACTGTACAGTAGGTAAAGTCAAAAATCAATTGTTTTTAACAGAATGAGATACTTTTCTGTGTTATGTTTTATGGATGCATTAGGGTATTCTGTTACAATTTAAGTTAAATTGTGTCCTGTGTCCATAAGTGTCAATATCATATACTGAAAAAAAATTGTTGACACTCCATTTAGACCCTTTCATGACTTCTGAATTTAATCAATTTTAAAATGTTTAGTTTTGAAAAGGTTTAGGCTGAAAAGATTTTTAAAGTTTTGGATTTTGTAACATTCTGGCATCTTAATAGTGTACTTAAAACATTTCCGTGACATTGCAAAAACTTTTCTGAAAATCTAAATTAACCCAACCTCATCTTTACAGCAACTTTTGGAAAGGTTGTTGTCTTGTATTAGCTACATTACCTACTGTACAGGCCGCCAGTTGTGATTTTCAAAGATGTTCATTTTACACAGCCCTTGTGACTTTCATAGATAGTAAACTATACAATACCGAGCAGATACCCCCAAACAAAATACATGAAAAGTTAGATATTCATCCATCTTTTTCCTAACCATTTCATCCAATTCAGGGCAGCAGGTGAGCTGCAGCCTATCCTAGCAAGCAACTGGCGCAAGGCAGGATACACCCTAGACAGGATGCCACTGCATCTCAGGGCACACAGACACAAAAGCAGACACTCATGCCAGGTCTGAGTTTCCCAGAAGCCAATTAACCGGTATGTCTTTGGACTGTGGGAAGAAACCCACTGAACATGGGGAGAACATACAAATGCCATACAGATAGCACCTCAGGTCCAGAATTGAATCCAGGGCTCCAGAACTGCCAGGCAGTAAAACTAACCACAGTGCCCACTAATACATTATTTTCTATGTGCAAGTTGATGAGGAGCTACCAGTAACAGGGGTGTAGGGGTGTAACTCCGATGTCCTGGCCACATTTCCCATTAGGCCTTACCAATCATGGCCTCCTAATAATCTCCCTCTATGAATTGGCTACATTACTCTGATGTGTGGTGAGCGTTCTGGCGCACTATGGCTGCCGTCACATCATCCAGGTGGATGCTGCACATTGGTCGTGATGGAGGGGTGTCCTCATTACCTGTAAAGCGCTTTGAGTGGAGTGTCCAGAAAAGCGCTATATAAGTGTAAGCAATTATTATTATTATTAACAGATATCTACAATAAATGTTCACAATAAATGAGGCCAACTCAGGTTTCTCATACAATGTAGAGTACTTGTAAACTACAGTATTTGGATCCCTGTACTAAATATTGCACCAACATTCTTCATGTCATTATATTTATATACCACAGTCTGAATATTGCAGTGCTTTCAACAGTTCATTGGTTTTAATTGCTTGGGGCTTCTAAGGTGTAAATCAACCAGAACTTACTTAAACACTGTGTTTTTATTAGAAATAAAGTTGTTTACATTATTAAAATTACATATTTAAGATCTTTTGGGGGTAATTTTAAAATTAGCACACATGCATTTCTTTTACAGCTCAATGACTGAGAGCAATTACATGAAAGATAAAAGCAGATCTTATTTGCAATGAAATAACACCAGGGTGCTTTATATCTATACATTACATTTTATTTTTCTTTTGGAGCATACATTAACCTGTCATTTTAATGAGAAGATAGGTCATTCATTTTCCTTTACATTTTTTTCCATTCAATTTCTATTCCGTTTCCAAGTTTACATATTTATTTTAAGTGTGCACACTGCAATCCCATTTAATGCATTTTTGATATTCTTCTGAAATGTTAAAACTCTATCTCTGCATCCTTGCTCATCCTTTATTCACACTGGAATTATTCATTTGATTTTGGTATTTGTTTTCTTTGGGCCTCAAAAAAACTAACAAGCATGGTAGGACAATCGTTGGAAAATTAGATTTAACCTGGTCAGGCAGCATACAGTGAGTGAACACATTTAAAATTCCTTTTAGTGATCTACTGTATATTGTCAAATGGTGGAGAGTTTTTTTTGCTTGTCCTTGGTAGCCTTGACAAAAAGTTATTGCATCAAATGTCATATTTATATGATGTTTCCTCTAGGGATCAAAATGAAAAACAAAGATTTTCTAATAGCAAAGCAAAGCAGCCACATTCAAGATCAGTACTGCTTTTTCCATTCTCCTGGTGACATCCTGTTATGATACAAATGATACAAATGAATGCTGACATTCATACACCTAATCCAGGGCAGGAATGAGCTGGGTTTATGTTGATCGAAACAACCAATAAAATGTAACATTTAATTCTATGCATAGTTACAGTAAATTAACCATGAACATTAATTTAGTAAAAACATGAAAACAAGTCACCTCCACTGTTCAAATAAAAAAAATCTTTAAAACTTTAAGCCTTGAATGGAAAACAGGAGGATTTCAGCCAAACATCAGCACAACTATAATTGTAAACTTTAATCATTTCATTTTTTAAAGTAATTTTAATTTGAAAAGAAATGCTCTCAATTAATAAATATGAAGTTAGAATTCACAGGATATGTAGATTCAGCTGTCCTTTGTATATTGTAACTGCTTCAGACTGCTTTTAAATGTATATTTTAGAGTTATGGTCCTGTGAGTCGTGGTCATATTTTATGACATCACTGTTAGAGACTGCTTTGTGTATGCACTGATTCATTTATGGAATTTTCTAAATCACCTACTGTGCAATATGAAGCATGTTTATTTTATGTGTAAAATGTCAGAGCCTCTGGTATTCTAATATGACCAGTCTTTATCAAATACATCAAGTCCTTTGAGTCATTTCCATCTGTCCACACATCCTTTAAAGCCACAAGTAATCTCAACTAATCTCACATTCACTTCCTGTGGTTGTATTTCAAAGGGATGAGAGAGAAAGGGTTGTGAACCAGAATCAGAAACCTTACATCTTCCAGGAAAAAAAAAATCTTGTTCCTACCTTATCTATAAACTATACAGATGTATTCTTTAAAGGCATTTGCATTTCATACCAGATCATTTGCATTGCCATTTTGGATAGGGCACTGTTTTCTGGTTGTGGTGATGAAACTGTCAATTGTCAGCAAAAGTGTTGCACATACAGTAAGTAATATGACTACATAAAGTACAATTACCTGGGGCCATATGTAAATTTTCAAAGGGGAGTAAGGACTTGGATAACTCCAATTTTAGACATGTTAAGAAGTCTAATAAAACCTGTTCTAATCTGTGCAATTTATTGATTTATAGTAGATGTGACTTTTACTTTTAGCACATTTATAGGTCTAAAATTAGCAACACAGACGTCAGAAGATACATCCTAGTTCAAAGGAGAGGTATGAACATCTGAGTCACTGAAATCCTAAGTGTTTCCCCTAAAATCTCAAGGCATATTAGGGCATGTTTTTTTATCAGAAAAGACTTCCATATGAGCTGCACGAACAAGAAATAACAGAAGACAATTTTGGGCATATACAGTATTAAAGGATCTACTATCTCATGCAGACATTTTTAAACTGACCAGTACAGAAAATCATCAGGTGTTTCTGTCTTAACAGAAACATGTGATAATGCAAATGTCTCCTTGTGTCAAAGCAAAAGTACGAAAATAATATCAACTGGTTTTGTCTTTTTCTTATGTTGGCCTCACATCGGGCAGTATAGGATGGTGAGTAATTCTCTTGACTCATACTGTACAGTATATGAGGTTTTGTGGGTTTTAAGTCCTTGCTGCAGATATTGCTGTTGTACCTTAAGTGACTGTGTATTGTACCCCAATTGCTCCATTCCACATAGCTGAAAAAACAGAGACTAACATTTGCTGGGTTAAGGCTGCGCAATACACTGGTGTTCTATTCAGGGCTGGAATTATGTGCTCTCTGTTAACTTAACACCATGAAAACAGGATAAGCCCTGCCCTTATGAGACATTGTGAATTGAGTATGATACAAAGTTAACAGCATGTGATACTTTCAGTTTGCCTCTAAACACAATTAATCAATCAGAGGCTGCATTGAAACAGTTGATTACTGACATCTTTTTGCCAAACATTTGTAAAATGAACTGACAGGAAACCTAGTAAATAATTGGTTAAGAAAATGTAATTTCTTGTAGGACAATTCAG